GTAGATAGACACAGTACCTTTATTTATTTATTTATTTATTTATTTTATTTGTATGTGGTGCTGAGGATTGAACCCAGTGCTTCTTGTGTGCTAGACAAGTGCTCTACCACTGAGCCACAACCCCAGTACTGCATTTAGATTTAAACACAGTTAAATCCAGACTATTTGTCAGGGTAACTTTCCCAGATTTCTCACTTTTTTTGAGGATGATACATGAAATATTTTATTATAGTCCAGCCTATGAGATACTCCCTCATATCCCTCCCCCAGCATACCAGAATACAAACTCCTTAGGGCAAGAACTGTATCTATCTTTTACCTCAAAATTCTAGGACCTGTCACAGACCTTGGCACATAGCAGGTGATTAGAAAATGATCAATCAAATGTAGTTAGTCTTCTCCATTTTTTATTTTTAACTTTTCCCCAAATTCTTAAAGAAACCTCTACATCTGCTGCTAGGGCTCCAGGGCTTCCTTGTTTTGAAGCCTGGTTTGTTGTTATATATAAGATCACAGCTTTACACTCATATCAGGTCTACTTTTATTTTTTTTTAATGACAATTTGATCATTCAACCTTTGACATTTTCATATGTACCTCTCTGAAGGTTTTTATTTGTTCAGTCAAAAAGCATGAATATATAATTCACCTAAGTATATTTTTCTGGGTTCTAGCTGTGTGATTTGGAAAGGATGTGAACCCTGATTTCTTCTGCCAAGAAACAGGGATAATCATAACTCTTATCTGCTGGAGGGTTCTGAGGATGAAGTAGATAATAAATACATAATCTAGTTGGCCCAGTACTCAGAAAACAGAGCTCTCATTAAATGACTAAAAAAGAAGTCTCTCCCTTTCTGCTCATCTCTTGTCTAGCATCAGACATCTGGTAGCCTGCCACCTGTTTGGCTTCTAGCCTTCAACCAGTTCCCAAGAAACTTCCTTATGATCCAGCCCACCATGGTTCCAGGCCACCCTTCTACTCATCTTTATTCCCTCAACACCATGGACGGTCCTCCTAACCTGTGGTGTCTGACCCCTGCCATCTCCTCTAAGCCAGACTCCCCTCCCTGCTGCCTTCCTTCCCTGCTCTCTCCAATTAATGCCCATTATAGGTCCCTTCACTTGGGTTCCCTGCCTGAGAGCTCAGTCAAGCTAGAAGTGAGGACTGCTATATTTGCATGGAGACAGGTGGCTGAGACCTCATCTCTGGGCTTCTGTCCTTCCAGGAGAAACTCCATACTTGCTACTTTCAAAAGTGATTTTTAAATATATAGATCCCACTGAGCAGTGGGGCACCCCTGTAATCCCAGTGTCTCCGGAGGCTAAGGCAGGAGGACCACAAGTTCAAAACCAGCCTCAGTAACTTAGTGAGGCCTAAGCAAGATAGCAAGACCCTGTCTCAAAAACAGAAAAAAGGGCTGGGGATGTGACTCAGTGGTTGAATGCCTCTGGATTCAATCCCTGGTACCAAATAAATAAATACATAAATCCTATATCATGGCAAATCCCCTTTTAAATACCTTAGCAGCTTCCCAGAGTTCTGAGGATGAGACCAAAATCTTTAGTGTCCACTCTGCCACCTTGGACTGATACCCCTGTGGTAGCCACAGTGACTCTTTCATAGTCCTTTAAATTCATCAAGCTCCTTTCACCAAGCTCCTCAGAGGTTTAGGAAGGGTTACTCTCTCTGCCTGGAAAGTTCTATCTCTCAACACTATACCGCTCCTAAGGTGAGTTATTTTTACCCTTCAACTTGTTAATTTTGAAATGTCTCAAACCTATCAAAAAGTTGAAGGAATGGTATGATGAACATCAGAATACCCTTACTCTTTTTACCTAGATTAATCAACTGTTAAAATTTTGCACCTTTATTTTATCTTTCTACATGCAGACACACATACACATGCATTATTTTTTCTGAACCATATAAAAGTTGAAGGCATCATGACATTTGATACTTCAGTATATATCTCCTAAAACCCCTATACAAGCCACAAAGAAATCATCACATTTGAGGAATTTAACATTAATACAATAATACACAGTCTACTAGCAGATTTTCATAAATATTTCCAATATGTCCTTTTTGTAGGGGGGCCCAGAGACTGAACTCAGGAGCACTCAACCACTGAGCCACATCCCCAGCCCTATTTTGTGTTTTTATTTAGAGACTTATTGAGTGGCTTATTAGCATCTCACGTTGCTGAAGCTGGCTTTGAACTCGTGATTCTCCTGTCTCAGCTTCCTGAGCCGCTGGGATTATAGGTGTGCACCACTGCACCCAACTCCAATATGTCCTTTTATTCTATCTTTTCTTTAAAATGCAGGATTCATTCAAGGAGCATGAATTGCATTTGGTTGCCATGTCCTTCTCTTTTAAATTAGAATAACCTCCCCCCTTCTTTTGCTTTTTCTTCCTCACCCCTCCCCGCCTTCCTTTCTGGTACTAGGGATGGAACCCAGAGGCATTTTGTCAATGACCCACATCCCCACTCCCTACTTTTTCCTTAATTTTGAGATGGGGTCTTGCTGGGCTGCTTGGACTGGCCTTCCATTTATGATTGCCCGGCCTCAGCCTCCCAAGCCACTGGGATTACATAGGTAGTTTAAAAAAATCCAGCCAACTGTCTTTTAAAATGCCCCACAATCTGGATTTGCTGGTTGTTTTCTCGTGGTCAGATTCAGGTTAAGCAGTGTTGGTAGGGTATTCATGGGTGATGTTCTGCTCCCTACAGCATCACGCTGGGCATCCTTTGATGTCAGTTTGTCCCATTATTAGTGATGCTAAGTTTGTCCACTTGGTGAAAGCCATGTCCCCAGATCGCTCCATTATAAAGATACTTTTATGTATTTTTATTTTTTGAGATGGTCTCTCTGTTGCCTAGGCTAGCTTTGAACTCTTGGGCTCAAGCAATCCTCCTGTCCCAGACTACAGAGTAGCTGGGACTACAGGAGAGTACCACTGTGCTCTGCTTTATAAAGATATTTTCAAATATTTGTGATTAATAAGTAATCTGTGGATGGTACTTTGAGATGTGCAGCAGCCCTTCACCCAATTTTAATATTTTAGTGTTCCCTAATGATCCTTGCCTGAATCTGTTTTTATATCAGCAATTACCAAGTGGTGCTTCTCAATCATTCCTTCTACAAGTCACCTGAATAATTTGTTCAGATTTAAATTTGGTATCTTTTCTTTGGAGAAGCCTAAAATAACTGAGCTCCCTCACCTTGACTAGGTCAGGATTCTCCTTAAATATTCTGGTAGCCCCCTGTTCTTTGCCTCCATTGTACCTGCCATGATTACAATTAAATTATTTTTTGATCATTTAATATCAACCTCTCAATGTATACCATGAGCACCATAGAGAGGTTCTATTTCTTTCATGCTCATGCCTACCACATGAGCACCTAGCCCAGTGTCTGGAACATCCGTAATAGTTGTTGAATAAATACTTGTTGAGACAAATAAAATAAATAGAATTCAACTCTTCAGAACTCAACTCTTCCCACTCTGGAAAGGGAGGAATGAGATTCCTGCTTTGCCCTCCACTCTAACCTTGTGTTTGTTATGATGGCTTGGAACTGACACACAGAAGCTATGTGCTCTGTCTGAGCCTTACACTGAGTTTACCTACTTGGGGATGGGGAGTCCCCGATCAGGAGGAATTATAAGCAGGGACAGAACTTGCAAACACTGTAAAGTTCTTGGTGGTGCTCACCCCACCATGAGCATCAACGCCCCCCTCCCTCTACACATTCACTTTCATAGCTTTAAGGTCTGCCCTGAAGCCCTTCCCATAAGGAACCTTCTTTTTACCTCAAAGGAATCTATCCCTATGAGGTCCCCTGACCTCTTTACTATTGATTCATTCAGGCAACAACTGTTTATTGAGGAGCTTCTCTGTGCCAGATGCTGCCAATAGTTACCTAACAGGCAGACTGCATGTGTATGCTAGGCTGCTTCCCCATCCCACCACCCCCACAAATTGAGATAATTTGATCCTTGAAAATAAATATATTTTTAAAAAAAGATGGAAATTATCACTGTGGGAGAAATCTAAATTATGTTGGAATTCTTTAGGGTTCTTTTATAGTTAATGTTTTTTAAAATTATGGATGTTCATGTTTTTTCAATATCCAGAGCCTCTAGGAGTCCTAATTAGGTCCAAATGCCAGGCTTCATGTTATGTGTTTCAGTAAGAAGCAGGCAGACACAGTCCCCACCTCGCTGAGGTCACTGTGGTAGAGTGCACCTCTGACTGGGTGCAATAGGGTGATTGTGCTACCTCAGAGCAGGCTCTGGCCCAACCAGGGTTTAGGGATTCCCCTCAGGTACATTTTATTCATATTACCAAGGCAAAGGGTGTGAGCTGGCACTCTAGGAATTAGCGTCTGCCCATGGATTTGCAGCAAGTGGAAACCTGAGGAACAGGGAAGTTCCAGAGAAAAGGTTTGATGATAGAGTGTTAGAGAATAGAGCAGGAGGTGGGTGTTCTCGTGAAATTTAAGAGACAAGTTCTTATATGCCCTTGGATTTTATTCTGAGAACTTAGGAAGTCATTGAAGCAACCTTATTTGAGTTTTCAGAATGTCTCTCTCCCTGCTCCAGGGTCTCCTGAGGCCTCCTGCATCTCCCCTAGGTTTTCTTTCCTACCCCTTTCTTAGCTCTGGGACATCCTCTCCCATTCCCTCTTTCTCTGTCCTCCCAAGAGGGTCTGGTGTTCCTTGCTCTGACAGTAAACAGTGTCCTTTCATGAAGGATGAGAGGGGATGCAGTTGATTAGTTACATCTGCGACAATAGATAAGCTGGTTTAGGTGACTGACTTGTGGGGATCTGGCTTCTGAAGGACTGGACAAGCACTTCCTACCTCACTCAAAGGAGCAGGTCTTGGGCATGGATTGGGGATAGGATACTACATTTGGGAACCCTGGGAACAGGCCAGGAGGGGCATGAATGGGGCAGGCTGGGGACACTGCTCACCATCCCACTTTCTCCCCAGCTCCCAAAATGGTGATGAAACTGGCACCTGGCCCAACAACCAATTTGACACAGAGATGCTGCAAGCCATGATCTTGGCCTCCGCCAGCGGTAAGTGGTGCCAATGTGTATGGTGGGTTGGGAAATGTGGGGCTTGGAGGTGACTCCCACAGCCACCATGGATGGAGACTGGATATCATTCTGTGTGGTTTTTCCAGGTCTTGCAGCTGGTCAGAAAGAACCTGATTCCAGGTTAAAGAACCAGCAGAGGGGATGGGGGTTCTGGGTGCCTGGAGTAAACAAGTTATAACAATCCATTGAGGAGATGTGGGCCTAACTCTGGACGGGGATAGCCTAGGTCAAGTCCTAGCTCTGCCACATACCATCCTTGTGACTTTGATCAGTTTGCTTGATCTGTCTAAATTTCAGTTTCCTCAGCCAAGAAAAATTGGGACAGTAATTCCAAAGGGTTATTGTGAAGATTAAAATGTAGAGGACTGGACCTGGCATATGCAAACCCTCCATCAGTGACAGTGGGTGTGGATATTCCCAGAAGAGAGAAAAAGACTCCTTTTTTCTTGCTGCCCCCACGTTTAGATCAGGACTAGGATTTTCCCACAAAGCTAACAAAGAGCCTCACATGTAAAAGAGACTCAGTCAATGGTAGCTGTCCCTGAAAAACCACAAGGGTTCTGAGCAAGGGAAGTAGAATAATATCATTAGTTATTAAGAGCACAGACTCTGGAAGCAGGTCAGTTTGGATTCAAACCCTGGTGCCACCACTTAGCTGTGAGTCCTTGGGTAAATCCTTCTGGGCCTCAGTTCCACTTATTATGAAATGGGCAAAATATTAATAATTGTGGTATTGTGAGGGCCAAATATAAGGGAGGTCCTCAGCACAGGATTGGCAGAGTCCTTAGAATACATAGTGGTTACCATTGATTAAATATTAACTTTAGTGGCCCATTATAGGGAAAAAAAACAGTATTAGAGGAATGCCTATTACTAACGGCTGGCTTCTGTAGCAGCAAATGTGGGCCCACGAGGGTTAAGGCACTGGCTTATGTCCTGCCTTCCAGCACATCTGGAGGATAGGTGGGCAGAGAACCAGGAGAAACCATAATATCTCTACCATGGTCCAGGGCACATACTAAACTCAAAGTGCCTCATGTCAATTAATCGCCTAACCAGCCCCTTCAAGGCAGACCTGATGATTTACATTTGACAGAGGAGGGGTGTGAGATGTCACTCTTCTGGGGGTGGGGGGGAGGGGGGGCTCCTGTTTTGAGCTGCACAGTTATGATCACAGCTATGATTCTAACCCAGCTCTACTCCCAAGCTCATTCTCTTTCTATGACAGTGACTTTGACTTTCTGCCTTTAGATCCAGCCTCAGTTTCTTTTAGCTGGTTATGTCTAGAGGCTGAACTCCTCCTTATGCCCTGCATTATTCTCCCAGATTAGAGTTGTAAAATAAAAGATGTCCAGTTAAGGGGCTGGGATTGTGGCTCAGTAGCAGAGTGCTCGCCTAGCACATGCAAGACCCTGGGTTCGATCCTCAGCACCACATAAAAATAAATAAATAATTAAATAAAGGTATTGTGTCCAACTACAACTAAAAAATAATTTTTTTTAACTTTATTTTGTTTATTTATTTTTATGTGGTGCTGAGGACCGAACCCAGGGCCTCTCACGTGCTAGGCGAGCGCTGTACTGCTGAACCACAACCCCAGCCCCCAAATAAATATTTTTAAAAATAAAGATGGCCAATTAAATTTGAATTTCAGGTGAACAACAAGTGCTATTTTAGCATAAGTTTATCTCAAATGTTGCATCAGATGGACTACTAAAAAAAATTACTCATTGTTTATCTGAAATTCAAGTATAACTGGACATTTTTGTTCTCTGGCAACCCTACTCTAGATGTCTGTGAGGTTAAGTAGGGTCGGGCCTGTGGCTGATGAAAGGACTAGGAAGGAAGAGGTGGTAGGGGCTGCCAGCCCCCTGGGGTAGAGCTTTCCCTGGTCTGATGGGCCTTAATCCTAGAGAGGCCAGCTGTTGAGTATGAAAGAGGCAGGCAGCTCTGGGGAGATGCCAAGTCCAGCCCCTGAGGGAAGTAAACTGGTCTATTTAGCTGTTGTGGCCTTGAGCCCTAAGACCAGAGAGTTGGCTTTTTAGCCTAAATCCAGATGTTAAAAACAGAAATGGAAACAGTATTTATGGCCCAAAACCCTCCCAGAAGTTCTCCCTGGAGCAGGGCCATAGCAGTGCACGCTCCTCTGTCAGGACTCCACCTCTTCTAAGCCACATAGGTCCTGACCCAAGGCTGCCCTTGGGCCCTGGGGAATGGACCTAGGAGGGAGGTGCAGGGTCAAGCGCTCTCACTTTCACACCCACTTCTTGGCCCCAGAACCAGAGAGGTTCCTGGAGCCCAGCCCAGCCAGGCTTGTGGGGCTGCTGAGGGTCAGTGAGAGAGAGAGAAAGAGAGAGAGAGAGAGACAGACAGACAGACAGACAGACAGAAAGAGAGGAGTGGGGGGATCCTTGGGGCATGTGTGTTCCAAAGGAGGCTGCAGTTGGCAGCTTCACCAGCTCAGATGCAGCTTCCTCAGGCCTCTGGCTACTGTGAGTCTTTGCCTCAGCCCTGGGCTGGGTGGGGTCAGAGGATGGTAACTGGGCAGTGGTGGGGCTAGCACAGGAGAGAAGTCAGCATCAGTCACCCCTCCTCAGGCCACGTTCTTTCTTGCTGCTTTTGTAAGTCTCTGTCTTCTTAGACTAAGAGAAAATCCTGGTCCTTGCCCAGTGTGGGTCTGGGAGTTGGGGGAAGGCTGTAGAGACAGTTTAGGAGAACTGATTATATAGAAGGTAAAAGTTGGCAATGCATCTTCTTTCCCTCAGATTATAGATGAGCAAACAGGCCTGAGCTAAGATCAGCAGCTCCTCGCCTCAGAGCTGACCAGACAGAACTCCAGTGTCGGTCTCTGTCTCATACATGTTGGATTCCCCATCTCCTTTCCCCACAAGGTGGGCAGGAGCGTGCTCTGTCATTTTCACCATTCTGGATACTTCTCAGAGATCTTGGGTGCACACAGAGTCTGTGAAGTGCCTTTTCTCTTTCTGTTCTGCCTCCTTTATCCCTGTTTCTCTGCATTTCTTCCTCTTTTTCTTCTGTGGACAGTGCAGATGAAACACTCTCTCTTTTTGCTCTCTGGCACCTCCTGGGTCTCCCCTTCCTTCTATCCTTAAATCACTCTGGAATCTTGGTTCTTTGAAGCCGGATCTGTGCCCTTCCCCCCACCTTCCATTCTGGAGGAGGTTAGAAGTGGCTGGGGGCTGGTGGCTGGAGGGGAGGGGGCAGGCGTCTGGGGACTCAGTTCCCTCCTGGAGTTAATTAGGGAAAACAGGGAAATGTCAGCCCTATGAAAGGGCTGGGGGAGGGGGCCGGTGGGGAACGAGAGAAGGAAGCCCGCAGCTGCTCTTTCCCACCCAGCCTTGTCCCTGCCCCCAGAAGGCCCTCAGCTCCAGGGATTTAGAACTTGAAATGGAGGCTGCAGAAACCCAGTCATGGGCCTGGAGGGCAGAAAGACCGAGACTCATCTCTGTTCTTCCTCCTCTTATGCCTGCCCCCTCTCCCCCGGCATTGAAAAACATTTCCTGTTTCTCAATCCCTGGTTGGTATCCGAGGATTACTCAGCCTCTCCGGCTTTAGTCACTCTCTCAGGCTTCCAGGGTCTAGGGTGGGGGCCGAGGGAGTTTGGGAGGCAAGTTCTCCAGGCAGCCTGGCTGGGCATTCCTGGGTTTTTTGTTTTTTTGTTTTTGACAGCTCTGAATTTATTAGTTTTGTTTAATATTTCCTTCTCTGTCTACCAGACAAATGATGGTAGGTTTTTATGGTTCTCTCTTCAATTCCAGTTGTCCTCTCCCACCTTACTCAAATCCTCTTTTCCCATCCTTCAATATCTATCTTAACAAGCTTCCCTTCCTACCCCCCACCCCCCATTTCTCCAACTTGTGCAGATTTCCCTTCTTTCCTGATAGACTTTCGGTTCATTCCTGGGTTTTTAACTCTTTCTCTGCCACAGAGGATTCGGGGTCTTCCAGCAGTGAGCCCAAAGAGTAAAATTCCTGTTTCCCTTCATCACCCTCCACCCAGCCAAAGAGAGTAATAGTGTAGATGGGTGAAACAATGATGGTATGACAACAGCAGTGACTAACATTTATTAAGCACTTATCCTGGGCATTGGATGAAGCTTAGATGAAGCACTATCTCATTTAATCCTCATAAAAACCCTATGATAGTTATTAATGTGCTTTAACCTTAAAGTACCTACAAGTCACCTGGAGCTCCTGTTACTATGCAGATTCTGAGATGCTGAGCTAGGGACATCAGTTTCTTCTTTTGTGCAGCAAACAGTTGGGTTGGCTGCACTTCCAGATGTCATTTAGCTTAGACATTTTGAGCCTTTATCTATCTTTGCTATACCTAAGGTGGTCCCCCAAGTCATCATCTTCTCAGTCTCCTGGTGTTACCGCTGTTGACTGGTGACGAGTTCTTGCTCCCCGATGTTGAAGAATAACACCAAAGAAGCACGCCGAGGCAAGGTCAGAGTAGAAATTAGAAATTTATTAAAGGACAGCAGAAAAGACTTCTCCCGGAGGAAGAAGGGGACCCAAGAGGTGGAATCCGTGGAAGTGCGGTTGTTTCCCCCTTTTTATAGTTCTTTCAGTGATGGAATGTAGGTTGGAAGGCCTGAGGGGTGGGACACAGGTGGGCCAAAGAGTAGTCTGAGCAGGAAGGACTTCATTATCACTTCTTTGTGATGGGCTATCTTCAAATCTGCTGGGGGCTATTCGTTAATACTTCTTCCAGGTGGACTTTGGCCTAGGGCCTCTTTGGGACTTCATTAACATTCCATGAGTTGTCCTGTTTTCCCTGAGTCATTCCCAGCATGTCCTCCATCTTAGATTTCACTCGGTATTAGACCCGATTTACCTAACTACACTAACTACCTAACTTTAAATCTGGCTTCACTAGTGCATGATTCATCCCTATCTTCTCCTCTCACCTCCTTTGCCCTCACTGCTGGTGGCAGTGGTGGAGGGAGTAGCTGTACCCTGCAGCATATGCTTAGATACACTTAGACCAAGTTTTGGGGTCAGGTATTGGGCTTCTCTCAGCCTTGGTGCAACCCTCACCTGTAAAATGAGGATAATCCCATATATCTCATTGGGTGTTGGGTTGAGGCTGCATGTGAAACATGGAACAAAGCGCTTGACACAGAGTAGGCCGTCAAATGCTTCCAAGACATGAATGTTTAGAAGAGTCCCTCCTCCCGATAATAGAACTTCTGATTCACTACTCTGTGCTGGGCATGGTTGGAGAAGAAAAGGATTATGTGCCAATCATGGTCTAATATGGAAGCTAGATGTTCCCTGGAGAAGGGCTAGCTAGGGCAAGGATTTGGGAGCCAAGGATCTTATCCCTGAGGGAAATCTAATATATTCTGAGCACTGGCCAAGCACCAGGCACCATTCTAGGTACTTTATGTATGTTTTCTAGTTTTAGATTTCATCCAAACCAGAACAGGTGGATACTATTACCCCCATTTTGCAGATCAGAAAATTGAGGCAACACAGGGAGTTTAGATCGACTTACCAGGATTACAGTAAGAAAAATAGTTGGGAATCAAACCTAGGCTTTCTCACTCTTAACCTGTACCTTCAACTCCTTGTGGATCCAGACTACGTGGTGTATTCCCAGTGGGTATTTTTGAAGGCATTGAGTAACTGCTTGTAGGACGAGAGTCACTGCCCTCATCTGATGATCTGACCTTCTTCTCTCTGCAGAAGCTGCTGATGGGAGCTCCACCCTGGGAGGAGGTGCTGGCACCATGGGCTTGAGTGCCCGCTATGGACCCCAGTTCACCCTGCAGCATGTGCCCGACTACCGCCAGAACGTCTACATCCCTGGCAGCAATGCCACACTCACCAATGCACCTGGCAAGAGGGATGGCAAGACCCCAGCAGGTGGCAATGGAAACAAGAAGAAGTCGGGCAAGAAGGAGAAGAAGTAACGTGGAGGCCAGGCCTAGAGCCTTATAGGACAGCCTCCTTCCCCAACCAACCCAGCTTCTCCTTACCTGTACCCAGATCTCAGAATTTCAGGGCTCACCCCCAGGATACTGGTAGGGGCTAAGGCCATGCTCCCCTTGGGAAACAGAAACAAGTGCCCAGTTAATACCCCCTCTCTCTGCCCCCAAGGGGTTGAATATGCAAAGGGAGTTCTGCGGGGAACCCCCATCCAATCAATTTGCTGTACCCATGGGGGTAATGGGGTTAGTGTAGACACCAAGAACCATTGTCACACACCCTTTCTTACAGCTGGACTCCTCCATCTTCCAAATCAGTCAGGCCCATCCATCCCCTGCTTCCCTCCACCCCACCTCATCCTGCTCCTTCAAAGTTCCTCTCTTGAGTAAGGTGGTTGGGGTATTGAGGTACCACATGATCTAAGAAGGGTCATAGTTCTGTAGAGTTGGGAAGGCATCATGACCTCTTGGTCTCTCCTTCAGTTCTCAATCTTCCCCCAAAGCATGGTATTGTGAGAGTCCTTTTACCTCTCTAGATCCTAAGACCAATGTTCAAGTTTTGGGGGACACCATACTGTCAGCATCCCTGTGGTACTGATGATGCTTGCCAGATTTAGGGAAGGCATTTTGCTACCAAGCCTCTTCCTGAGGCCCTGGGGACCAGTCTTTTGTTTTGTTTTTCATTGTTTGATGTTCCCACTGCATGCTGTGATTTTTCCCCACCTCTCCTCAAACAAGAGACTCCATTGCATGTTCTGAGACAGTAGGGGGTGGTAAGCTAAAGAAGGGAAGTTTGTGTATATGGATGGGGAGAGGATGGACAAAGCTTGGCCCATCAGTTTACAGGGTCATAAAGGAGGCTCTGTATGTCCCCAGAATACTGGCCAGATCTCCAAATTCCAGCCATAAACTAAGCACCGGGTTGGACCCTTAGGCCCCCGCATATAGGGTTCAGCCCGGGTGGCTTTGGGCTGAGCTATCAGGACCAATGAATTTAAATGGGCATTTCAGTTTAAGGAAGCTCTGATTGGGTTTAGGAGTAGGTCCCCTGGAGAGGTCAGAGGGGCCTCTGTGGGTGCTGGGTACTCCAGAGGAGCCACTGTGGAACCCTGATAGGAAGGGAAGCCCAGCAAGGCCATTCTTAGTTCCTGGGTTGGGAGGCAAAGAACTACAGCAGGAACCAAGTAGATAGGCGGGGCTTTTCTACAGGGTCCCTGTACTACTCAAAACGTAGGTCCTTCATCTTGCCAGGTGCCATTTCTTCTCTGTGAAGGCCACTGTCCAGGCCCTCAGCCCACCCCTTAGTGGCCAGAGCCTGGTTAAAGTCCCCCAGTGCCTCCTTGAGCAAAGACCTTCCTCTGCCCACCCACTTCTGCCCCGCGGTCAGGTTCATCCAGCCCGGCTGCCAGAGAACCCCACCCCAGCCCTTAAAAGTAGTGTAGAGCCCCCTCCCTCGGCTGGTGTAGAATAGCCAATAGTGTATGTAGTGCGGTGTGCTTTTACGTGATGGCGAGTGGGCAGCGGGCGGTGGGCTGCGCGCAGCCGTCTGTCCTTGAATCTGCCTGCGGCGGCCCGTGCTGTGTTTTGTGCTGTGTCCACGCGCTGCGGCGACTCCCTCCCCCGTACTGACTCCTTCTATAAGCGCTTCTCTTTCGCATAGTCACGTAGCTCCTACCCACCCTCTTCCTGTATCTCACGCAAGTTTTATACTCTAATATTTATATGGCTTTTTTTCTTCGAAAAAATAATAAAAAGGTTTCTTCTGAAAGAGTGAACGTTTCTGTTTAAGAGACGGAGCTCCTGGCACGCGTGAAGTGATGAGCTGAGAGGTGTAAAGCTGGAAGAGCGGAATTGGGAGACGAGTGTTTGCATCTTGTTTATTTTGTTTTCTCATAGAGGGTCTAAATCTGTTTCTGAAGGGAGGGAGTGTGGGAGTGGGAGCGTGTGTGTTGCCTCCCGAGTCGGTGTTGGGCTGTCCAATATGGCTGTGCATGCTTGGGTACCGTCGTGTCTGCCTGCGATGGACTGTCGTTGTGCTTGTAGATCTGTCTGCCGTGGTGTGTGTGGACTTGGGGATCCGTCGTGGGGGTGGGGAGTCTGAGTGCGGTGTGTCCGTGTGCAGTTGGCTGTATGCTGGCGGCTGCCTCCGCTAGGTCAGGTTCTAAGCGCCAGTCTCCAGGCAGAAGAGGCGAACCGGCGCGGGCGGGGGAGGGTTGGCGCCGGGCAAACAGCTCTGGGAGGGCGCGGGGGACGTTAGCTTAGTTCGCCCGCCCCTTCCCCGCCAAAATTAACTCTTTGTCGCACTCCCTCTACCCCTGCAGCCTAGAGGTTTTGGGAACACCGCGGGAGTGGGAGGAAATGCGGAGGGCGGGGGCGGAGATTCTTCCCTGCGGTATTTTCCCACCTGGAACTTGCTTTCCCTCTCACCTCTTACCAGCAAAGACAAACAAATTGGAGGACGCATCCTTTTCTCGAGGGGGTCAGGGGGGCTAAAAAGGCGAGCAGGAAATGAGATGGACCGAAAATCCAGCTTGCCCTCCCTCTTTGCTCTCGGTGTTTCTCCATTCACTCTCGCCCTCCCATCTCCCCACCCCTTCCGCCAGCCTCCTCCCAGCACAGCGAATTCCGAGGTGGCCGCAGCCTCAGAAGCTGCAGGAAAGAGGGGGAGGGGGAACCCGGAGGGGCGTTAGGACAGAATCATAGACCACTAGGATTATGTGGAGGGTCAGCGAGTCCTACCCAACCGCTGAGCCCGAGGGCTGTCTTTGGGCTTCCTCCGCGCGGAATGGGGGTGGTGGTGGTGTGTGTGTGGGGGGGGCGCTAGTTCTATCACCTCCTGGTCTGTTGTCATGGAAACCAAGCCTTCCAACTAAGCATCTGGGGGCAACTTTCTTGCGTGGGAGGAAGGGTGGCGTGCACTGTTGAGATAGGATAAGTGTTTTGTTTCTCAGAGCCAGGCTGCAAAGGGGCGGGGTGCCGGGCGCCTGGGTTCTATTCCAGGCAGGGCAGCAGACAGGCAGAGCACGAGAGCAGCTGTGGTTGGTCCCCTAATTGGCATGTGGGAATTTAAAGCTCTGAGCCAGAAACACGTGGCCTCTTGGGGAGGGGAAGGGAGGAAGCCAGCTGCCCACCTCTACACCTTGGCCATGTAGGGGAGGCAACTGCCCAGCCTTGGGGCTATTTAAAAGGTTTTTATTTCTAGTTCGAGGGGCTGCCCAACATGGTTTGTGGTCCTCTCCAGGCCCCTCCCTGTCTCAGGCCTGCTCCTCCCTGGTAAGGTTTCTTTGTGGGGGGTCTCTGAAGTACTCCAGCAAGTGTGGCTCTGAGTTGCAAGTCATCTGTAGCTTGAGTACATTATCAAGCAAAGGCTTCCTGAGGTTGGGGCCACCCAACCTGTTCAGTTTTGGTCTGCCTCTGCTTGGGCAGGCTCCTGGTTTCCAGCCCACCCTAAGTCTCTCTACTCTTGAATGTGGTCACCAAAAAAGCAGATGTTGGGAATGGGAAAAATGGGAGTTAAGAGGATTTGCTCAGCACAGAGGCACAGGTCCTGCTGTGAAATTGTGTGACATCGGAGGCATGGGGAAGTGGGGAGTTGGAAGTCAGTTCAAGCAAAGGTGTCCAAGCCACACTGCAGCAATGTGGAACAGCCAGGAGGCTTAAGTCACCTCATTATTTTTATTTATTTATTTTTAGTTAGGGACACAATCTCTTTAATTTTAGGTGGTGCTGAGGATCCAACTCAGTGCCTCACCAGTACTAGGCAAGTGCTCTCTACCACTGAGTCCCAACCCCTGCATTACCTCCTTAATTTTTTATGGAAAGTAAATGGCCCTGAGGTGAGCTCTGGCTGGGCAGAAAACATCATGTGCTAATCATTTCTAGCCCTGTGTTCAAGCATAGTGTCTGGCACCTTTAGCTTTCTGACTGACTTGTCAACCAGGGTTGTGAACTGGGTTTAAGTGTTGTCGTGTCATACTTAAAGAGAGATAAACTACTCAAAGTTTATTTTCTTATGATAGGGTTGTTGGAATTAAATAGGCTAAAGCTTGGAGAGAGTATTATTTTTTTTTTCTTGGCAGTCCACTGTTCTTGGGCACCTTGACAGAAGAATAGAGGAGCCTGGACTGAAAAGAAAAATAGCTTAGAAATTCACAAAGGAGGCTGAAAGGCGATGTTGTTTCAATGCTTTATTAACAGTTGGAAACAAACCCATCAAACTGGAGGTGATGACATCCCAGAAGCCCAAGAGGCAAGGGAACAGGTTTGCATTTTGTATACTCCTCTCTTTTTAAAAAATTTTTCTTATTAAATTCATCTTAGCAAAAGTAGATTAAAAAAGAAAGGGTCAAATCAAAACCCTAGATGTCAGCCAGCAAGAGGAAGAAGGTGACTCAGGGAAGCAACAGGACCCCTGCACCAGTCTTCCCTGAAATAGCCCAGAAGAGTTGCCTTTGCCCCTTTGGACACAAGCTGGACACACAACCAAAACCCTCCTTCCTGGCCACAAAGCCCCCTCAAATTTCCTTAGCTCCCCGCTCTCTAACTATAATTCTGGGCCAATCTCTAAAAGTACCATTCTCTCTCCCTAGCTGGGATGGGCTCAAAGTGGCACAAGGGAGACAGAAGTGTCACCCTAAGCCAGAGAATCTGAGCTTCCTGAGGTTGGGGCCACCAAATAGTTTGGTCTGCCCACTGTTCAGAAGGGAGCACAGGGTGTATGTGCAAGCAACCCCTGTGCCAGATTCCCAGTGCCCAGTTAGCATTTGTACATTTGGCTTGATAATCTATTAAATTCATAAAAACTGTAACCTCAGAGCTCCTATTATTCTTGGGCCTGGCCCAGCCCAACCAGAAGCTCCTCCTGCCCCAGAAGTGCTGCAGGGTGGTGGTGGTGGTGGTGGTGGGAGTTCTACCTAAGTCTCAAAGTCCAAAAGGCTTGAGAACTGAGGCCAAGGTCCAGGGGCATGTTCAGGATTGTGGCCTGTAAGGAGAGCCCTAGAACTCTGAACCTACCATCAAACCTTATTACATTATGGAGGGGACAGGGGAAGGAAGTTATTTTTCTTTAAAAAATTTTTTTCGTACAAAAATAGATCCTTTGCAAAACAATTTCTCAGCCAGGAGGCTCCACCTCCCATTTCCTTGGAGATAGGGGTGAGGTGTTGGGATGGTCACACTATAGCCCATACTCCAAATGAGATGCATCAAAACTCTGCAGAAGGAATGATTGGGGGGGGGGCACCCTGGCTCAGTATCCTGGAGGCTGATACAGAGGGTCTAGGGAGGCAAAGGCAAAAGGCATGGCAATGGGCTGGGGGATGGACCCGGTACAGTTACTATGCCATAGCTACCTGTCCACAGGCTCAGGCCTGGACCACAGTGGAACAAGTAGAGTGGTACAGATCCTTTTTATTTTGGGAAGCCTTTTCCAGGAAGATGGGTAAGGGTGGGATTTGCTCCGGCCTTCTTAGAAGCAGCTCCCAATGCCATAGCACTAATAATAAATAACAACAGCTAGGAAGGGAAGAGAAGAGCATAGGTGACAGCAATGAAGGGAAGGATCTAGCCCAGAGGTTCATAAGCTCCATGCTGTTCTCAGGGCCAGAGAAACCACAAAAGAAAAGCACAAATTCAGCAAGTCTGACCTACGAACATACCCAATAGAAAGTTGGGCTGAGAAAGCAGGCTGCGCTTTGTCTAAGACAAGGCCCTCTTGAGTAACAGAGGAAACAGGGTTAAGGCAGCAAATGGGTCCCCTGCTTTGGTAATACAATAGCCAGGGCTGGCTGAGTTGGTCTCAGGCCTCTTCCACATGACCCTTTCCTCTGGTCTCCAGGCAGCTGAAGATGTATGTGATGTTCAGAGAGCAGCAGGCCAGAGAAAGTTGGGGTCAGGGTAGTGGAAGTGGTTGCCCCAGAGGAATATCCCCTAGACCCTTTAGGCACATGCTGCAGGGCGGGACAATCCAGGCTCCATTTAGGAGCTGCCATGGCCCAGGGACCCAGTTTAACTTGCACGACCAACCAACTCCTTGGCTTCCTCAAGGATTGTGGGGACTCCTTCGCTGGTCTTGGGCACCTTGATAGGAACTGCAGTCATGGCATCATCCTTGGTCAGCTCTGAAGCTAGCAGAGATGTGACTGCACACCCAGCCTTCCTGTTGGCTGCAAGAGAAGATATGAGAGATGCTGTCTATGGAAGGCCTTGTTTTGAATCTCTTTCACATTCTATAGTAGACATTCAGCCAGAAGCCATGCAAATATGGTTGCCTTTTCTGGTTCACAAAGACCATTACTTTGAAGAAGGAGGGGCAGAGATCCAGCCTATGGGATATATTTTTGGGTGGCAAAAATATAAGAGAGTGTGTACCTTACCGTTGCTTTCTTCCTTGTGTGATAACAGTACTAAGGTTTGAATAGGGCTAAAGGGAAGGAACTGGGTTTAAGTATTGGCATGTCATACTTAAAGAGAGATAATGTACTCAAAGTTTATTTTCTCAGGGTTGTTGAAATTAAAGAGGCTAAAGCTTGGTATAGAGTATTATTATTATTATCATTATTATTTTATTGGCAGTCCACAGAAAGCTCCTAGGCAAAAATACATTACAGTCAGCCCCAGGAGGGCTGTTCCTCATAGGAGGCAGTCTGCTGAAGGCTGCTGGGGGGCTCTTACAAAAAACAGTAGCAGCCATTAAGTGGCATCACACATATACCATACTCCCATGTGTTTCTCCAATAATCAATCCAAATGCCTGGCTCTTTCCCACCTCTTCAAGGGCCCTACAAGACAGGTAAAGAATATGAGTGTGTATGCTGGTAGGGGAGGGATCAAAGGCATGTGAGAAAAGATAGGGCTGGGATCAAGGATGGCCAAGATGGGACCCCTATAAAGAAATCTCTGTCTAAAGGATTATGAAGTTCCAGTTGTCATCCCAGAAGAACCAGTCAATCAATGTGATTCTGTCAACGTTTGGGACCTGTACCCAAGACTCTAATATTTGTTATTTGACTTATGACCTCAGCATCCTCAACAGGAAGGCAGCTCCTTGGTATTATGTCCATCTCATGATGTTTTGCTTCTTCCCATGCCCTAGAAGAAGCACACAGAGACTGCACATACATAAAGTAGCTTAGCTAGCTTAAGGTGAAAGAAGCCAGATACAAAAGGCCATATATATCAATCCATTCCTATGAACTGTCTAGTCCATGCAAATCCAAAACATGGAAAGTGGATTAGTGTTTGCCAAGGGATAGGATGGGGAGAATCAGAATAAAGAGATGATAAACATTATAAACATTTTATAATGTTTGAGATCACTATTTAACCTGACGTGAACATTACATAGTATGTCTACATGTATCAAAACATCCAGATACCCCCTAAATACATGTAATTTTTATGTATTAATAAAAAATGACTGTTAATGGGTATAGGATTTTTTGGAGATGATGAAGAACACGTTCTGGAATTAGCAGTGATAAAAATTAAAAAAAAATATTTTTTAATTTTCGGCTGACACAATATCTTTGTATGTGGTGCTGAGGATCGAACCCGGGTCGCACGCATGTCAGGCGAGCGCGCTACCGCTTGAGCCACATCCCCAGCCCAGCAGTGATAATTTTAAAACCTTGTGATTATATTAAAATCCGGTGAAGGCGAATTTTAGTTATGTGAATTATAGCTCAATTAAATTAAGGGGGAAAAAATAAAGAATACGACTTTCTGGGGACCCAGGAAAGTAGAGTAGAGAAAGCAGTGCCTAAGCCTTAAAGAAGCAGGAGTGGATGAAAAGGCTGAGTGCTCCTAAATGAGAGCTGCAAGACTGGCACAGCTGTGGAAATGAGCAGGAAGAACAGTTCAGAGGAGCCAGGGAACAAATGCCTCCTCTGGAGCAGCAAAAAGCTTTAGGTAGACAGAAGCCAAATGAAATCAGAGAGCCCAAAGTCTTCACTGTGTTGAAGCGTGTCAGCCTCACTGCAGAGCCATGACCTAGAGCCACCGTTTTCCTGCCTGCAGAGGCTACCCACAGGTCAGGCAGGTAGCACACAGCATGCCCACAGATTACCAACTTATAGGTCCTCCTCCTCCTCCTCCTCCCAGGAACATAAGGGGTCATCTACCAAGAGGAGAAAGAATAGTAAAGCCCCTGACTGATAGCCATAAGGGCTTATCTTGTTGCAGATCAGAGATATGAGACCTAAACTCTGGAGGTTTTACCAAGCACTCACTTGAATTATGAATACAAACTGTTGTGTTAACATCTGACAAGTGAGTAAAAGGAGCCCACTTGATTCTATGGCTCTATTCTGTGCATGCTTCTCTCACTTTCCTGCTCAGTCTCTCCTCCTCAGGAAAATCTTCCTCAGACTGGCTTAGTTTTCATTCTTACCTGAAGTACTCGCTTCTCTAGGATCCCACTTCTCATGTCCAGAAAGGTGATGGTCTGAGATCGCTATATTGCTCTTTGAATTCAATCTCTAGCAGTACTGCAACTATGTGTGTGTTTCTCTCTCTCTCCAGTATAGGCCCAGTGTGACTTCAGTGTATGTCTGGTTTGTGAGTTGAAATAATTTCTGCTTCTAGAACCTGGGAAAAAGAACACTGGCTTTTGGGGATACCTGTCCTGTGCCACACAAAGTTAGAGTTCCAGTGTGGCAAGTCTGAAGCTGCTGCTTTAATTGGCTTCTTCCTTTAAACTAAGACGACACTTGTACCTAATAACAGTGTTTTAGGATTTTTCTAGACTCTGGGAATTTCTAATGTATTTTATAAGAACCAGGAACAGATGGTGGGTAGGGAGAAGAGCAAATTTTCCTTTTAAATTTTGAGGTTGGAAATGGGAAAGCTCTTGTTGAAACTGGCAACAGAATCAACAGAACCTAGGCATTCTGTTTCCACTGCCACCATTATACTAAGTAGTTAGAACAATCAAGAAAAAATGACCTCTCTCCTTTTTTTTTTTTTAATATAGTTGAGTTGGACACAATACCTTTATTTTATTTATTTATTTTTATATGGTGCTGAGGATCAAACCCAGCACCTGGCATGTACTAGGTGAGTGCTCTGAGCCACAAGCCCAGCCCTCTCCCCTTCTTTTCCAAACTTAAGTACTTGTTAAGACTGAAAGGTAAGGCTGGGGTTGTGGCTCAGTGGTAGAGTGCTTGCCTAGCATGCTTGAGGACCGAGTTAAATCCTCAGCACCATATAAATGTAAAACAAAGATATTGTGTCCACTTCAAACTAAAAAATAAATATTTTTAAAAAAGGCTAAAAAGTAGCCACAGAACCAGGTCACCATTTTGACTTGATGGGATGTGGCAGGATGATTAACTCATAAGAGAATGGTCTTGCAGACTGTGGGGCAAAGGAATAATCTTAAGATACTTGTCAAAGCTTTCTTAGGTTGGATTCCTAGAAGTTAGGGGTGAACTAGGATAAAAACATCAGCAAAATTAACCATATGGCACTAGAAGTATAGCTGAACTAGAAAAGTGCTAATGACTTGGAAAAAGACCTTTATAAAACATAGGCTCAAAACTACTACTAAAGAGGAAGTGCTCTTGTTAATAAGCTTCCTTAGGGAAGAGGAAACTAGGACAGATGGAGCAACCATTACCATCCTAAATAACTCATTACTGTCTAAAACTCTAATTATACTTCCTGTCCTATTTTTACAAAAGATGGGAAAGAATAGTGGTGGTTCAGGAACACTCTTACCAACCTTCTCTAGTCAGGCAGTCATCAGAAAAGCTCCTGAAGAAATCTCATCATATCCAGAACTCTTCTTGCTAGAGACCATTTGAAATAGCATTTCTAGCCCATACCGAGGGGTCATGGTCATCTCCTGTCCATTCATGCAGGCTTAGTGGAAACAGCCCTGGACTTGGAATCACAAAAGTGAGCTATGGATCTAGGTGGGCTCTATCTTTAGATAGCTATGCATATCTGGGCCCTAATTCCTTTCACCTATGAGCAGGTTAGATAATAACCATGAAGACTCTTCAGAATTTTCCCAGCACTAAGGTTCTATTGGTATAGGTGAAGCCTGTAGGGAAGCTGGGAAATGGGAGAGGGAATAAAAGGGAGAGAGAAATGAATTTGTTTCTTCCCTTGACTTACATCTCAGTGAGCAAATGGTCTGTGAATAAGAGACTACAATTCAGCTGTGGAAATAAACTTGAGTCATTAAGAGGCCAAAAGCTGACTCAATCATGAGCCTAAAATAGTAGCTGTAATACAATCACATGGATTCTTCCCCTTGACACTCAAGCCATTGTTCTCCCACACCCTGCAGATCATAGCAGTTTACATGTTGCTTTTAATGAACCAGTCCTATGATAGTAACTCTCCTCTCCCAACTCCTCAATGGGTCTTTGTATTCTGGACACTTCATCATGTCTCTAGAGACCGGAAGAATTCAACATTCCTTTAAATTCTAGGGAAAAGGCCAGTGTCTTTGAATAGGGACAGCTGCCTTACTGGGAAAGGACTCTGATGCAGATATGCTTGACAGTGCTGTTTTTTTTTTTTTTTTTGGTTTTTGGCTCTTAGCAATTTCACTCCTAGCATAAGTCTCCTATTCCCTCTTTCTCTGGGAGATAGTACTTTGACTAATTCAGGTCCTCTGCTGAAATGTTAGGTTCTGACAAAGTCTCTGCTTCCTCTGCCTGTTGAGTCCCAACTTCCCACTTGGAAAGAAGTAGAGAATGGGACCTCCTCAGCAGAGGGAAGCCACTGATGTCTGGCTGCTTGTGTATAGGAAGCATCTGGGATTCTAGTATAGTTCTACAGGAAGACCTTTAAAAGGGAATTCCCCAACAAAATCTGATACAGACAGGCACTTGGCTGAGAGGGTTGAGGAAGACATGTAAATGAGAAGCAAGGTATTTCTATTAGGCCTAATGCTTAATGTACAGTCATATCACCTTATACAGTGGTAGGAATGGTCTTGTACAAAAGTACTACCAGCTGTACTCTCTCTTTTTTTTTTTTTTTTTTTTAAAGAAAGAGTGAGAGAGAGTGAGAAAGAGGGAGAGAGAGACAGAACTTTAATATTTATTTTTCAGTATTTGGCAGACACAGCATCTTTGTCTGTATGTGGTGCTGAGGATCGAACCCGGGCCGCACACATGCCAGGCGAGCGCGCTACCACTTGAGCCACATCCCCAGCCCCACTACCAGCTGTACTCTCTACCCAAATGCCTATTCACAAAACTAAATGTTCTTAGAAGCCCAGAGTTCTAAGCCCTTCATATCTATTTTTCCTCCCAGTTAGAGAAGCTTTACTCAGAGAATGCCATAAAATGGATAAGATGTAACTAATGACACTTCTGTTTAGGGAAGGTTTTAAAGTCATACAGAAGAGCCATCCAAGAGAATTTCCCTTCCAGTCTGGGTAGAAACAGGCAGCCGGCTATCACATATAAAACTCATAGTAATCTAAGACATTCAGGCCAGGAAAATGACTTTATGTGGGCTGGTATGTTCTGTACCCTTGATCCTTATGTCATTTTTTCAGGCTGTGACAGGTACTATAGGCCTACAGACATCAGCATATTAATAGCTAAGCACTGGCCAAAGTTAGCCACATAACTCTTTGTAAAAAAGTGAAGCTCCTGGGGCTGGGGCTCAGAGGTAGAGCACTCTCCTAGCATGCATGAGGTGCTGGATTCAATCCTCAGTACCACATAAAGTAAAATAAAGACACTGTGTCCACCTATAACAAAAAAAAAAAAAAAAAAAAGAAAAGAAAAAAGAAAAAAGTGCAGCTCCTATCAAATGGGCCTACAAAGTACACCAGTGAACAGAGAACACACCTTTCATCCCTCAGAAGTACAAATCTTTGATGACGCATTTTCTGTAACTCTGATTCTTTTTCAACCTGACAAAGAAATCATCACTCCTAGCCCCAGAGGGACTTCACTAGACATAAAGGTACAGATCAACCTCACATGAGGGGCAGCTTTGGCCATACTTTCTTTTGAACTAGTCTCTTGGGAGTGGGGGTATAACTCAGTGGTAGAGCATTTGCCTAGCATGCATGAGGCCCTGGGCACCACACACTAAAAAAAGTTTCTTAGTTATTCAGTGACCCTCACTGGAAACCTATTCATTATTCCTTCACCAGACTAATGACTGAATCACTTGTCCTTTCATCTCTATAATATATTCTTTTTATAGGATCTGGTTCAGTCTAATTTAAATCTTTTACATGTGAGAGGAGGTTGCATGAATGTGGGGAGGGCAAGGATAGCAGACTCTAACTGCACCCAAGGAAAAGGCAGTTCCTAGACACAAGGTAATCTTTTAGTTGGGTAGTCCTCTATAGTCTTACAAATGAGGACAATGATGCCTCACTTTCCCACTCTAGGATATTATACTTCCTATATTAGTTCTTTTTCTGTCTTCTTCTTGTGAAGTGTGAGTTATTTTTTTCTTTATATTTTAATCCATGTCAAATGTAGTTTTGTATTTAGGTAAAAAAAAAAAAAATTTTTTTTTTTTTTTGCAGTGCTGGGAACTAAACCCATGGCCTTGCACATGCTAGGCAAACACTCTTCAATTTAGCTATAACCCAGCCCATAGGGTCAATTATTTTTCATATTCACAAATTCTCACTCAAATCCCTGTGTCCTGAAGCATGGTGCCCTTGTTCCAAATTTCTGCTTCAAGAATGGGAGAAATGCAAGAATAGTCAAATGTAATTGATTTGCTATCTCTCTGATATCAGTATTTCTAATGTGGGAGGAAGAGCACTAGATAATCCACTCTCAATGCTGGGATGTTGGGAAATTCCTAAACTTATACAGCACCACATCTGCTCTTTAGCCCAAGACTAGCAGGACCCTGAACATAAAGGCTTCACCCGCTTCAGGATGGGTTCCATTTTGTTTACTTACCCTGACGGGGTCCTCTCTTCCGACGGAATGCTGCACCTGATTGCAGGGCTTCTAGAAGACTATCCATCACACCTGTCTCATCACCCTCTGTCATGAACAAAGATACAGTTGTAAAACTCTTCAGCCAGAGCAACATGGCAAATGACAAGTTCCACATGAAATGCATATTTTTGGCTATTGCTTGGAATCCCCTCTTTTCTAGTGGCTAAAAGTTCACAACAGACAAGAAAGGCTCCACCTCAACACTCACAGGCCTGTGTTTACTTGAGTCTGTTTAAAAATGGCAAAACAAAAGATTTCATTGCCTGCTATTTATTCATTGCAAACCCTGGAATATTTCCCTGCAGTGCCATTCTCCCCACCTAATCAGGACTAGCACACAGAATTATCAAATTGCCTAACTTCAAGAGCAGGGTAAGTACAGAGACAGCAATAGTGAAATTAATAGACAATTATATCACCCCAGCACTACCCTAAAGTGTTTCACTCCAATTTATACAAACATCTCATCTCACAGAGAGACTGGTTCAGGTCTCAAAGCAAGACTAAATGAAGAGAGACCACTGATCAAGAGCATATTTCATTTAAGTACTGCCTCCAGTGGCTATTTCTTCCTGAAGCCAGCCCTGCATCTAAGAGGAGTGGATTGGCTGGAAAACAAAGAGTTAATGTAGAATCCTTGTTCCAGCCAGGCTCGGTTTCCATGGCAACAGCTCAGGATAGTGAAATCTAAAACTGAAATCCCAAGGAGTGGGGTTGGCTGCCAGCTCCAAGACTAGGGCTCACTGCTCCCAGCGCCATCTGCTGTCTGAACATCAGCAGTGCAGATGACCTACATTCTAACCTCATTTGTTTGACCCAGGTTCTAGAAACAGGGCAAGGTCCACTACGCCACCTGTTGGTCCAGAGCAACTCTCATCCTGTCACCTGGACTCAACCTTCCCCCATTTTGTCCTAACCAGTTCCTAGGAGGAAAAACCTTGGAGGTTCAGGGAGAATGGGAAAAAAGGTGAAGAATACTCAGGTGGCCTATAATAGCATTTACTGGAGCAGTTTGTGGCATATATATATATATATATATATATATATATATATATATATATATATATATATATATATATATATCTCCGAGGTAAGGATAAGGGAATTGCTTTCCAGAAAAATATAAAGGAAAATCTCTAAGAGTAGGCTTTATCGCCTGTGCTTAGTAAAGCACTCGGATTCTTCAGACTTGGCAGACCTGAGGACCACTTCATTTCCAGAATGCTCATGGCCCTCAGGTTCAGCTTAGTGCCATGAACAACATATGCTGTATTTCTGCTGCCCATGGGGGATGGGAGTAGGGAATCCACGGCAGGAAAGAAGCAGAGACAGGAAACAGAGGGCCAGTAATTGAGACCATATGTTTCAACAAAGACATGGTTCTGGTCGTGAAATAGAGATTCTGCTGCAGAAAGAAAAGGGTAGCCAGATTCCCGCCCCCTTCCAGAAGTTCAATCCATTTATGATATCATAGCAACACAATACTTAGTAAAATAAGCAGAAAGGGAGGACAGCCACAATTAGAAAAGTGTAGGGAGACTTAGGAAAATATTTTGGGGAAAAAAAAAAAAAAACAAGATTAAGTGTAGGGAATGAGAACAAGCCAGAGGAAGCTTTGGCTGAGCAGAAGGAATGAGTATGTGTAACAGCAATACTAAAATCCCTGGGGAGATGAAACATAATGCAAGAACCAGCAAAGGAGAGGCAAGAGATTTTCACAAAGAGAACTGGAATGTACACATAACTGAACTGGGTTTAAAGTTTAGCATCAGGAACTAGGAGGAAGAAGGTTACCAAAATCATTTGCTGTAAGTTAAGCTCAGACCTAAACTATTCTCATCTGCCTCTAGATTCTAGATAGAGAAACATACTAAATGTTGTTCTCTCAATCCATCAGCCCTTCTGTGCTTCTTACCTGCATTCATGTCTATGAGTTGCTCTCTCTTCTGCTGTTTCTCTAGCCGCTCTTTCTCTGCCTTCTCTTTGGCTAGTTTTGCTCGTCGCATCTTTTCTTCTGTCTCCCGTCGTTTTTGGTTCTCCTTTACTGCTTGCTGCAGGAAAGGGGGATTCAAACATATGTATACTCACCACCAACCAATATGAAACCTGTGTAAAGTCAGCATGTAGTCCTTGCTCACCACAAACATATTTCTGAAGTTGTGCAGATCCATGAAGAATTCTTCCACAGACAACTTTTTGGGGTCAAAGATGAAATAGTCGCCTAGCTCCTTATAGAGGGTCTCCATGTTAGAGTGCATCATCCGCAGCTTGTTATATTGTTCCTGTGCATCCTTTACAAAGCTGTGCAGCCAAGGAGTAAAGGATCAAGACCAATAAGCAGACTCACTCCTCTAGCCCAGATAATTACTAGAAGATGCATACTGGCATGCATAAGGATGTTCAACACAGCACTGTTTATGACACCGAAAAAACAGAAACAACTAAATATCCAAACAGAAGAAATCATAAACTTCAGTACACCTAGAGAATAGGAGGTGATAATTTAAAAAGAGACTGTTTTGCATATACTACGTGGAAACACAGCAAATATTAAGCACAAAAACCAATGCAACAGAGATTTGTTTAAAATAAATTCATGAGGTGAAAATCAGAAAGAAGTTCTGTAGCAATGGTTTGCTTTCAGTTCCACAATAAAAATACTTCAAGAGCTATGTACTTAACCAAAAAAAAATTTTTGAACCCAGCGGTGATTAACCACTGAGCCACATCCCTAACCCTTTTTATTTTGAGTGTTTTGCTAAGTTGCTGAGGCTGGCTTTTCTTTTCTTTCTTTTTTTTTTTTTGGTACTGGGGATCGAACTCAGAGGCACTCAATCACTGAGCCACATCCCCAGCCCTATTTTGTATTTTTTTTTTAGAGACAGGATCTCACTGAGTTGCTTAGTGCCTCACTGTTGCCGAGGCTGGCTTTGAACCCGTGATCCTTTTGACTCAGCCTCCCAAGCCACTGGGATTACAGGCATGCATCACTGTGCTGGGCCTGAGAACTTGTGGTCCTCCTGCCTCCGCCTCCTGAGACTCTGGAACTACAACCATGCACCACCATGCCAGGCTGGAAAAATATTGTTTTTAAGAAAAATTGAATGTAGCCACATTTATCCTGTTGTCCCCTTGGGGAAGTGGTCCCCCCCACCCCCTTCCTAGGAAGCAACTTTTTTCTTTCAGGAAAGGATATAGTCATTTTTTCAACAAACTTATCTTTTTCATCTGTGGCAGCTGGAAAATTCTGAACATCACGTTCCACATCAGAAATCTGTTTCTTCATCTGATCTAGGTTCTTTTGCAAGTTTTCAGCAGAAACTACAGGAAACAAAAAGACAGCAAGAGCTTGTTGGTAATTTCAGCCTCAAGACCTCTTAGCTTTCACCTTTCCTACTGACACATTCTGGTACTTAATTATTTTTCTTCTCTATATACTCTCCTCTAGTTATTTCACACATTTACTTTTCCTTTTTGCATCTAGACCACAATTATTTGATAATTGGTTTTCCAGCCTCCACAAGGTGTATGGTACTAAGATCAGAAGGCAGACTTCATTTGATTTTTAAAAAATCCACAAAATCCTCTGAGATCTAGGTTTCATTTATTTTAGAAAACCGAGTTTGGGAGGAGGGAGACATATGTAAAAATATAGAAGCAGGGCAGAATTCTGTCCCATTTCTACTGAATGCTTTACCTACTCCCAGGAGAGTGAAGCATGAGGTTTGTTAATCTAGTCTGCTTTCTGAATGACAACAAATATGGACCTAGACTGAAAACTCCTGCCTCTCCTGTTGTTTTGGTGTTTCTGTTTTCCCAGAAAGGGAAAGAGCTCTTCCATTTTTACACATGGAGACCTCTCTTCAGCCTTATGCTCCTCCCTTGTGGCTTAGACACTGTGTCTAAACCTTGCCCCATTCACATTTAAAATAGTCTGCACAGAAAATGATCTAAAATCTACACTGTGTCTTATTTTTCTACCCCAGCAGACTGCTGGGGCTTGGAACCACCTTTTGGCTTTGCTCCAATCTGCCTCACCTCGGCTGGCTTTCTCCACATGAGCAAGCTCATCTGGGAACTTGAGGACATCAGGATAGTCATTCTCACACAACTCAGCCAAGAAGTGCAACAATGTCATCTTTTGATCTGTGGATTTCGTGTCTCGAAGCTAGAGGTGAGAGGAGAAATCATTAGTATTGACTTGCCCAAGACTATTTCAGACGACACTGGGCTCCACAGAGGCCTGTAGCCCTCCCTCTGTTGCCTGCTCTAACCCATGACTTACCTTGCAGAGGAAGCTGATGTTGAAACCAAAAGCTCCAGCATTCCTGGAGCCAGCATTCATATAGTTTCCAACAAGGAGGGTTATCTCCAGGAGGCTAGAGAAGCTCTCACTCTTGCGTAATTCCTCACATGCGGCAGTGACAGAAACAATCTCTGGCTTAATATTCTCCACTTGCTCACTGAATTGCAGCTTGAAGAGAATGGCATTGAGGCGAGGCCGCAGGCGGGGCACTGTGCCCATCTAGTGGGAAAGACAAGCAATTTCTTTCTTTCCTTTTTTTTTTTAAATTTATTTATTTTTTTAGTTTTAGGTGGACACAATGTCTTTATTTTTAAGTGGTGCTGAGAATCGAACCCAGAGCCCCACACATGCTAGGTGAATGCGCTACCACTTGAGCCACATCCCCAGCCCAAGCAATTTCATTATAGCTCATATAAACAGAGAAGTTAGAAAAAGAGGCAAAGCCTCCTCTGGGAAGATGAATTCCAGAATAGAGAGATGAGAGAATGAAAGATAGGCTCAAAACAGGCAATAGCTAAGCAAGGGTTTAGGCTATTCTCTAGATCAGAGAGAAATAAGGGAATGGGAAAAGAACAGAATGCCCCAGGCCTTACTCACCACCACACCAAACTGCTCTGACTCGGCCAGATCATCATATTCATCCTTCAGTTCGGATAGCATTTTTAACTGCTCTGGCTCTGGCATTTGCTTAATGAGGTTCTGAAAGAGAGAAAAGGATGTCTCTTTGTAAGGGTAATCAGTTGACAACTCGAGTCTAAATGACTTACTCTTTTGTCAGTCGCAGACTCTGCCCAAGGACCACTACAAAAGGAAACACGGGGCTGTAGGACGTTGGGAGCAGCTAGCAAAATGGTAGGACTTCTGATAAATATGCCAAAATAACTTGACCATCAGAAAAATGGCAGCTTTTCCAAAGCTAGCATTTAAAGTCTATGATGCTAAAGGATGAGCTTCCTCAGCTAAGGAGGGAAGAGGTGAGGCTGATGTCCAGTTATGCAGAAGAGCCAGCTCCTATAAGACAACCTTGCTCCTTACCTGGATCATAGATTCCGTAAGAACAGCCTCATTCACCTCCAGGATGACATTCTTAATCTCTTGATAGGGCATGCGGAAGGAACCCAAAAAGATTGCTGCCAGAAAATGAGATAAGACATGTTCTCAGTCTCCTCTCCCTTCTAACCCATTCTGCAAGCCTATGCTGTATAATCTCCCCAAGAAGGCTCTTTGAAAGTCACTCTGCCTTACAGTTAAAACCCAGCTCTAGAGTTCAGTGTCTAAAGCATTCTCTCATCATTCTCCACATTTATGTCACACACCAGCCATGATGCACCACATTCTATAAACATTATGATTTTTCCTGCCTTTGCTCACACAGGAAGTCTCTTGATCTATTTTATATACATACATCAAAGTATTTCACGCCACTCTATTTTAGTGGACTCCCAGGACTCCATCTTCAAAACTGTCATTGCCATGACCTGCTCTGATTGTTAAACTGTCCCTCTTTCTAACAAACAAATCCTTCCCTTCTAGTATGCTCACTTTCTAATCTCTGACTCTTCAAACTTATCAGGAGCACATTCTAACCTTCTGACAATTGATCCATTTTCTGAGTGTGTCAGTTCCAATCTGCCTTCTCTATTTGACCGAGACCTTATAGTATAGCATATCACTTCACTACTGTCTACAATTACTCCCATTACTGCTGCTTCTACTATTCTCTTGCTGCCTGCATTCTTGCAGAGTCTAGTTAATCCTAGCTATCTCCTTTCTCTACTCTTACTTGGGCTGATGCAGATAAAAGTCCATGCATTTGCAGGGACACCAGTGACAGCTGGAGCTTCAGTGCTGCTTAGCAATCCCTTTCTGCATGTCCTTACTTCCCTATGTTCCCATTCCTTTTGGCAGTTCCTCCAAAATATACCCATTCTCCTAACAATCCCACCACTTCCCCATTTGTTCTAAGACCTTATTTCTCTTGCTAAGAAAAACTGAAGACGTTGGCCAAATTCCTTGCCCAGCCTTTTCATGGCACTTAAAAACTGAACATTGGGGTAGGCATGATGGTGCACACCTGAAACCACAGCTACTCAGGAGGTTGAGGCAAGAAGATTGAAAGTTCAAGGCCATTATGGTAATTTAGCAAGACTCTTGTTTCAAAATAAAAAAGGATAGGAATGTAGCTCAGTGACAGAGCATCCTGGATTCAATCCCTAGTACTGCAAAAAAGAAAGAAGATTGCGGACTCTCAGTTACAGCCAGACTAGAAAAGGCTTTGGAAAGCACTATTTTGGAATCACCTACAAGAAAACTGTGACAACACTTCTGTAAAGTTATTAGCATATGCTCATATACATGCATGTATACACATATATACACATACCCCAGGTATGCATCCTTTCCTCAAGCTTCCACAAAAGAGGTGGCCCTAAGGTCCTTGTCCTTCAGCACATATAGTCAAGTCTCTCCTATCTTGCAGGGAAAAAAAATCTTTCCTGACCCAGTGTTCCTCTCTACCAAATTCTCTTTCACTTTATAACATTCTGAAAATATAATTGTCTTTTCTTTTACGGTCACAAATTTTACTTATTCTGTCTTCACAAAGCAAATGAAAAGATAACATTGAAACTGTACTCTATGTAAGATTCTACCCTGCCACCTCTCACTACATCCACTAGCCATGCTCCCCCCCCAAAAGAGAATCTGTTCTTGGTCAATCTGCTTATTTCAGTAAATGATAACACTTTTCATAGAGTGATCTAAACTCAAAAAACACCATCTTTATCCCCTCTGTCAACCATTGAGTTCCATTAATTCTGTCTTCTTACTATCTTGTGACTTTTTTTTGATTCTCACTACCTTAGTTTCAGGCCCTGATCACCTCTTACCTAGTTTAAAGCAATAACATAACTTATCTCTCTGCCCAGTCTTTTCCTACCCAGCAATTCAGCCTTAAAGAAAAAAAAAAAAAAAGAAAGAAAAAATTACCGCCTAAGGGCCTTCCTAAAAATTACAGTTGTAACACTCTATTTCTTGTTTAAAAACTCTTTAATAACTTTCACAGCTCCATAGCTTTTCTCAGGTAGACTCAACTACTTGCAGTTCTTGAACTCAATGTTCTCTCATGCCAATGTGCCTTCACAAAGGCTAATCCCTCTCCTGAAACAAGCCATTCCTCACCCTTCTTAACAGTTCTTTCAAATCAATTTAAGTAATACTTCCTTGAGAGGTACTACTTCAAGATTTCTGCCCTCCAGTACTCCCCCAACTTGATTTGGATATCCCCTTTCCTAGTTCTCTCATAAGCACTTTAGCATTCTTTTATGTCAACATTTATTAATCTATGCTATTGTTATTATTTGCCTTTCTACCTTTACAAGACTGTGTTTTATGGAATATACAACCTTTTATCTCTGGAAAACATGCTTAGTATATGCCTAATAGATTGCCCATCACATAGAAACAAGAGAGACTGAGGTTCAAATCTCAGACCCTCAGAGTTCTTATTAGCTCTATAATGACATAAAAACCATATATTTATCAATCTTGCAGTGGTGCCAATGGGAAATCCACTATGCAATGCCTGGCACACAGCAGGAACTCCAGAAATGGGTATATCATATTGAGAGAAGTTAAACTCAAGAGAATTAAGTTCTTAGAAGAATTCCTTCACATTTCAAATAGTTGGGATCACAGTTACTCACAGAGATTCTGGGCCGTCTTTGAATCCAACACCTTTAACTCTTTTACTTTTTTCTTTTGTACAGATTTCTTTTCTTCTCCACCTTCCTGATCCTTTTTGGCTAGTGAGGGAAAGATAAGAAAAACATGGTTTAGGACAAGCCACTTCTGTTCCTTACTGAACTACTACCACCTAGCCTGGAATGGTCCTTTGCCTGGTCTCCATGATAATGGTCTCCCCACTGTATTCCTTTAAGGCTAACTTTCTCTTTAGCCACTCTGCTATTAATGACTGCCCCCTATTATAATGAATATTTCATTTTCATTTCTCCAACAATTACCAATAATGCTTTCCTACCTAAATCCTATCCACATGCAGGGATCAGCAAACTTTCTATAAGTAGCAAAATAGTAAATATCTTAGGTTTTGCAGGCTATGTGGCCTGTTCTCATTTCTCAGCTCTGCAACTGTAGCATGAAAGCACCCATAGACAATATATAAATGAATGAGCAAGGCTGTGTTCCCATAAAAATTTTCACAAATATAGCAGTTTCATAACCCCCATACTAGAGTCTTCCACTATGTTATCCTTTTGTGTCTATTAAAAATTCTCTTTATCTTTCAAACTTCATCTTGAACATGACTTGCCCTGGGGATGAGGGGGGGAGAAAACAGAAACTGTTCTGAACAGAGAGATATGATTATAAAATATTTTGACCTATAATTTTTTAGAAAGCCATATGGGAATAGCTTTGAAAGCAGAGTCAAGAAACAGACAAAGCTACTTGGTTCTGAGCAGAGGAATGGGGAGAACTTGAGCATGGGTATGAGGAATACTTTTGAACACAAACCCTCTTACATCATTTGAATTTTTGACCATATGAAAAGTATTATATTACCTGGTACAAATAAGCAAGAAATAAAAATAAAAAGTTATGGACAAATGGTACCCCAAAAGCCCTATTTTCTTTTAATTCATCCATTTGACCCAGGAATCCCAATTTGAGAAAAGAAAATTCCAAATACATAAAGATTGGTTATGTAAATAAATGATTATTGAGTAAGAAAATGAAAAAAAAATACAGAAAAATCATGACATAAAAAGCTGGTTTAAGATAACAACAACAGGGCTGGGGTTGTGGCTCAGTGGCAAAGCGCTTGTCTCACACATGTGAGGCACTAGGTTTGATCCTCAGCACCACATAAAAATAAACAAACAAAATATAAATTTAAAAAATGTGTGTGTGTGTGTGTGTGTGTGTATCAACAACAACAATAAACCAGGTATGATGTCACAGGCCTATAATCCCTGTGGTTCAGGAGGATGAGGCAGGCAAGAGGATCACAAGTTCAAAGCCAGTCTCAGCCATTTAGTGAGACCCTAAGCAACTTAATGAGACCATTCAAAATAAAACAATTTAAAAGGGGCTAGGGATGTGGCTCAGTAGTAAAGTGCCTCTGGGTTCAACCCCTGGTACCAAACTGAATAAATAAATAAGTCAGATAAATCTCCAGAAAGACTGACAAAGATAAAAAGAGAGAAGGCTTACATACTACTATTAGAGATGAAAAGGGGAATATTATTACAGGTTCTGCGGCCATTAAAAGGCTAAGGAAACACCACAAATATTTTTGCATTTATAAATTGGACAATGAACAACAATTTGTTAATTTTTATTTAATGACCCAATACTACCCAAACTCAACCAATGTAGAATAGTCAATTTGAATACTCCTAAAATCATGGATACTCCTAAAGACTATTTTTAAAACTAAATCTATAATTTAAATCATCTTAAAAAGAAAATCTTCTGGCCTAGAACATTTCAATGGAGAATTACACCAAACATTAAACAAAAATTAACAATAATTTAATAATCTCTCAGAAAACAGAACAGGTGTGAGGCAATACTTTCCACTTCAACTTTTTGAGGCAAGTATTACCTTGATACCAAATTAAATAAGTACAATGAAACAATGATGATGAAAAGGAAAAGACTTGTACACCATCAGTATTCCTCATGAATACAGACACATTATATGATTTTCAAATATTTTCTCCAATTTTGTAGATGGTCTTCTTTCTTACTTGATGACATCCTTTGGAGAACAAAGCTTTTCATTTTCATGAAGTTCAAGTTCTTTTATTGTTTGTGCTTTTTATGTCAAAAAATTCCAAATTCAAGGTAATGAAGATTTAACCCTGCTTTCTTCTCAGTGTTATAATTTTAGCTCATGCATTGATTCATCTCAAATTTAATTTTTGTACATGGTGCGAATTGAGATCCGATTTAATATTTTTACACATCGTCCATCTATATGGAACACATTTGATGAAAAAATTCTTCTTTCCCCATTGGCATCTGGTCATATATAAGGAGTTTATAATTTCACCAATTCTAGAGGCTGAGGCAGAAGGACTGCAAGATCAAGGCCAGCCTGGACTCTATCTCAAAATAAAAATACAAAGGGCTGGAGATGTCATTCAGTGGTAAAGTATCCCCTAGGTTCAATCCCCAGTATCACATTCAAAGGTGGGGGCTTATATTTGCACCCTCAATTCAATTGCATTGACCTATGTGTTTATATTTATGCCAGTGTCTTGGTTATAACTGCTTTGTAATAAGTTTTAACACAAGGAAACATGAGTCATACTATTTTGCTTTTTTTTTTACAGGATCCTTTTGGCTGCTCTGAATTCACTTATGATTCCATGTGAATTTTAGAATAAGCAAGCCAATTTCATTAAGAAAATCAGCTGGGATTCTCATAGGAACTGCAAGTGAATCTGTAGATCACTTGCTATCTAAACAATATTAAGTCTTCTGCTCTACAAACATGGGATGTTTTTCCCATTTACTTAGTTCATTAATTTTTATCAGCAGTGGGCTATGTAGTTTACAGCGTTTGTTTTATTTGTAATTCTTTTGTTATTGTGAATGGATTCTAAAAATTTCATTTCATTACAGGTTTGGTGGTGCACACCTATAATCCCAGCAGGAGGATCTCAAGTATAAAGCTAGTCTCAGCAATTTGACAAGGTCCTAAGCAACTTATTGAGACCCTGCCTTAAAATAAAAAGGACTGTGGATGTGGCTCAGTGGTTAAGTGCTCCTGGGTTCAATCCCTGGGGCCAAAAATTTAAAATATTTATATATATATATATATATATATATATATATATATAAATAGAAACACAAATGACTGACCTCTTTGTATTGATCTTATAACCTGCAACTATGCTAATTACTACAATTAGTGGAATTTTAATGGATTCTTTGATAATCTATATACTAGATCATATCATCTGTGATACTAACTATCCACAGCCCTTGCCTTTTTCTTAATAATCTTGATACTTCTTATTTATTTTCTTGGCTAACTGCCCTGGCCATAACTTCCAAAACAATATTTAATAGAAGAAGTAAGAAGAGAATTTTGTCTTATTTCTAACATTATAAAGGACAAAGTATTGGTTGGATCTTTCATCCATTAAATATGATTTAAACCGGAGGTTTCTTCAATGCCCTTTGTGAGGCTAAAGCAGTTCATTACCCTTCCTAGTATGTTGGGTGCTTCTTGTCATGAAACAGTGTTGGGTATTGTATAGTGCTTTTTGTGTCTAATGAAATGACCATATAATTTGCTTTTTATTCTAGTGATATGATGAATTTCATTAATTAATTATCAGATGTTAAATTATCTTTGCGCCAGATGTAGTTATGCACACCTGTAATCCCAGTGGCTCAGGAGGCTGAGGTAGGAAGATCCCAAGTTCAAAGGCAGTGTCAGCAACTGAGCGAGTCCCTAAGCAACTCAGTAAGACCTGGTCTCAAAATAAAAATTTAAAAAAGTCTAGGGATGTGGCTCAGTAGTTAAGTACTCCTGGATTCAATTCCCAGAACCAGGAAAAAAAAAATCTTTGCATCCCCGGGATAAGTTCCACTTCGTTATGGTAAATAAGTCTTTTTACATGACGCTGAATTCAATTTGCTGATTTTTTCCATCCATACTCATAAAAGATCTTGCTCTGTAGTCTTGTTTTCTTACAACACAATGTCTGATTTTGGCATTAGGATAGCAATAGCATCAAAAAATGAGGTAAGAAGTGTTCTTTTCTGTTTCTTGGAAGATTTTATACAGCATTAGCATTAATTCTTTAAATGTTATGTAGAATTCAACAATAAAGACATGTGGGTCAGGGCTTTTGTTTTGGGGTAATTTTGGATTCATCATTCAATTTCTTTACATGTTAAAGGTATATTCAGATTGTCTATTTCTTCAGTCTTGGTAGTTTGTATGTTTCTTGGAATTTTCCATTTCATCTGAGTTATCAAATATGTTGGCATATAAGTGCTGATAGTTTTCCTTTATTAATTTTTTAAGGTTGGTAGTAATGTTCACTCATTTCTGTTTCTAATAATTTGTCTTGGTCAATCTGGCTAAAATTTTGTTAATTTTGTTTATCATTTTCAAATAAGTTTTAAGCTTGATTAGTTTTCTCTATTGGGTTTTCTATTCTGTACTTAAATTTATACCCCAATCTTTGTCATTTCCTTCCTTTTGCTTGCTTTATTTTAAATTTGCTCTTCTCTTTCTACTGTCTTAAGATTGAAGGTTAAGATTATAGATTTGAGATGATTCTTCTTTCTTAATATAGGCACATTCAGTTACAAATTACCCTGCATTTCACAAGGCTTTGTGTGCTGTGGCTTCATTTTCATGCATCTTTAAGTAATTTTTGATTTCCTGATTTTTTCTGATTTTCTTGACTCATTGGTTATTAAGATGTATATTGTTTAATTTTCACATATTTATGTGTTTCCCATTTTTCTGTATGGATGTCTACTTCTACTATGGTCAGACACCATATTTTCTATTAGTTATATTCTTTGAATTTATTGAGGTTGATTTTATGGTCTAACAAGAAAAATACATACTTTAAAAGAATGTACATTATGTTGTTGTTGGGTACAGTGTTCCACAGATGGCTATTACGTCTAGCAGGTTATAAAGTTCAAGTTTTCTGTTTCCTCCTTCTTCTGTCTAGTTCTTCTAACAAATGCTGATGATGGGGGTTGTTAGAATTCTGTCCCCTTCAAATTTATGTGTTGAAATTCT